GCTAACATCCCTGCATCCTCCTCCACTTTATACAGGACGCCACCACAGCATGGCTTGCCAAGCGGTGCGTCGGTGCGCGCCCGGGGTTCCGAACCAGCGAACCACGGGCCGCCGTAGTAGAGCCCTTGCACCTAACCGCTTGCGCCACTGGGCCGGCCCCAAGACTTTATTTTTTTGAGTAGTACAGACAGTTCCCATACACCCCTTCACACTCTCCCAGTATTAACATTAATATCTCTCCTTTTATTATTATTATTATTTTTTGGTGAGGAAGATTGACCCTGAGCTATTGCCAATCTTCCTCTTTTTTGCTTGAGGAAGACTGTCCCTGAGCTAACATCCGTGCCAATCTTCCTCTATTTTGTATATGGGACACTGCCACAGCATGGCTTGATGAGCTGTGTATAGGTCCGTGCCCAGGATCCAAACCCATGAACCCCAAGCTGCCAAAGTGTGCCAACTTAACCACTACACCACTGGGCCCGCCCCTCTCCTACTATTGACATCTTGCATTAGTGTGGTATATTTGTTACAACTGATGAGCTAATATCTATTCATTATTATTAACAAAGTCCATAGTTCACATTAGGGTTCACTCTTTGTGTTGTACAGAGTTTTGACAAATGTATGACATGTATGCACCATGACACCATTACAGTATCATACAGAATAGTTTCACTTCTCTAAAAATCCTCTGTTCTCCTCATATTCAACCCTCCCTCCCCCCAATCTTCAGCAACTACTGATCTTTTTACTATCTCCACAGTTTTGCCTTTTCCAGGGTATCACATAGTTTGGATCGTACAGTATGTTGCCTTTTCAGATTGGTTTCTTTCACTTAGCAATACGCATTTAAGGTTCCTCCACGTCTTTCCATGGTTTGATAGCTCATTTCATTTAATCACGCAATACTGCATGTATGGATGTGCCCAATTTGTTTATCCATTCACCTACTAAAGGACATCTTGGTTGCTTCCAAGTTTGGGCAATTATAAATAATGCTGCTATACACTTGTGTGCAGGTTTTGTGAAGGCATAAGTTTTCAACTCATTTTGGTAAATACCAAGGAGCACAATCACTGCATCATATGGTAAGAGTATGTTTAGTTTTGTAAGAAACTGCCAAACTATCTTCCAAAGTGGCTGTACCATTTTGCATTCCCACCAGCAATGAAGGAGAGTTCCCGTTGCTCCACATCCTCGTCAGCACTTGTTGTCAGTGCCTTGGAATTCAACCATTCTAATAGGTATCCCATTGTTGTTTTAATTTGCAATTCTCTAATAAAATAAGATGTTGAGCATCTTTGTTTTTGTCTTTTGATTTAAACTAAGCACCATTTTACTTGAAAGGACATTGGACAAATTATGGATATTCAAACTGGCACATTTGGCAGATATTTTCTCAAAAATGAAAGAAGCGTGTTCCTTTAAGGAAAACAATACACAGTATTTGTTGCCAATGATAAAATTTGAGCTTTCAAGTGAAAATTAGAATTTTGGAAAACTTGTATCTGCCACTGTAAGCTTGGCAGCTTCCCAACATTTAAGAGACTATGCAATTGGAAGAACTGCATAATTCAGCGAACGATTCTTTTCCAAATGATCATATGTATGATTTTACAAAATCATGCATGCATAAAAGGTCCATTCAAATTGCAAGATATACCAATGATTTTAATGTAATAGTGCATAAAGTTCATTAATATGGTTTCAGATTCCACATTCGACTAGCCTTTAAAAAACTACCACTTCTAAGTTTAGGTGTGGTATCAAAGAAAAATATCCCCAATTATCTAAAAAGGTTATTAAAATGCTTCTCCCTCTTCCAACTAAGTATCCGTGAGGCAAGATTTCCTTCATATCCTGCAATCAACACCACTTTACAACAGATTGAATGCAGAAGCAGATATGAGAATCCAACTGTTTTCAATTAAGCCAGACATTAAAGATATTTGCACATAAAACAATACTACTTTTCCCATGTAATTTTTTTTTGTGGAAAACATTTTTCTTCATAAAAATGTTTTTTATGCAAACATTTAATGGGTTTATTACTTTGTGTGAATCAATACATATGTTTTTTATTGATGCTTTAATAGTTTTTAACATTGTGAAATTTTGGGTTGTACATTTTTGTTTGTCCATCACCCTATGTATGTCTCCCATCACCCCTTGTGCCCATCCCCTACCCCCATTGCCCCTGGTAACCACAGTACAGTTTTCTCTGTCCATGTGTTGGTTTATATTCCACATATGAGTGAGATCATACAGTGTTTGTCTTTCTCTTTCTGGCTTACTTCACTTAACATAATACCCTCCAAGCCCATCCATGTTGTTGCAAATGGGACGATTTTGTCTTTTTTTTTTTTTTCCAAGCACTTCAATTATCCTTTTTATTTTGAGATAATTGTGGATTTACATACAGTTGTAGGAAATAATACAGACAGGTCACACATACCCTTCACCCAGTTTCCCCCAATGGGAATATTTAACTTTTTAGTTAAATATTCAGTTTCTTTAAAGGCTATATAATTATTCAGATTATTTTATCTGGGTTGAGGTTTGATGGTACGTGGTTATTGAAGAATTAGTTCATTTCTTCTAAGTTGTTGAATCCATGAGTCTAGATTTGTTGAGTGTTCCTTATTATACTTTCAATGGCTGTAGGATCTGTAATGATATTTCCTGTTTGATTCCTGATATTGATGATGTGTGCCTTCTCTCTTTTAATTTTTCCAAGTCTTACTAATGGTTTGTTAATTTTTTTTTATTGAGGTTTTAATGGTTTTTAACATTGTGAAATTTTGGGTTGTGCATTTTTGTTTGTCCATCACCATATATATGACTCCCTTCACCCCTTGTGCCCACCCCCCACCCCCACTCCCCCTGGTAACCACAGTACAGTTTTCTCTGTCCATGTGTTGGTTTATATTCCACATATGAGTGAGATCATACAGTGTTTGTCTTTCTCTTTCTGGCTTATTTCACTTAACATAATACGTTCCAGGCCCATCCATGTTGTCGCAAATGGGACGATTTTGTCTTTTTTTATGGCTGAGTCGTATTCCATTGTATATATATACCACATTTTCTTGATCCAGTCGTCAGTCGAGGGACACTTAGGTTGCTTCCACTTCTTGGCTATAGTGAATAATACTGCAATGAACATAGGGGTGCATAAGCCTCTTTGGATTGTTGATTTCAGGTTCGTTGGATAGATTCCCAGTAGTGGGATGGCTGGATCATAGGGCATCTCTATTTTTAATTCTTTGAGGAATCTCCATACCGTTTTCCATAGAGGCTGCACCAGTTTGCATTCCCACCAGCTGTGTATAGGGGTTCCTGTTTCTCCACAACCTCTCCAACATTTGTTGTTTTTTGTCTTGGTGATTATAGCCATTCTAACGGGCACGAGGTGATATCTTAGTGTTGTTTTGATTTGCATTTCCCTGATGATTAGTGATGTTGAACATATTTTCACGTGCCTATTGGCCATCTGTATATCTTCTTTGGAGGTGTCTGTTCATTTCCTCTACCCATTTTTTGATGGGGTTGTTTGTTTTTTGTTGTTCAGTTGTGTGAGTTCTTTAAATATTATGGAGATCAACCCCGTGTCAGATGTATGTTTTGCAAATATTCTCTCCCAGCTGGTGGGTTGTCTGTTCATCTTGATTCTGGTTTCATTTGTCTTGTAGAAGCTCTTTAATCTGATAAAGTCCCACTTGTTTATTTTTTCTTTAGTTTCCCTAGTCTGGGTAGGCATGTCATCTGAAAAGATTCCTTTATGACCGATGTCAAATAGTGTGTTGCCTATATTTTCTTCTATGAGTTTTATAGTTTCAGGTCTCACCTTCAGGTCTTTGATCCATTGAGTTAATTTTTGTGAATGGCAATAGCAGATGGTCCACTTTCATTCTTGCATGTGGCTGTCCAGTTTTCCCAACACCATTTAATCAATACATATTTTAAACATTTTTCAGTGTAAATTTCCAATATGGTAAATATGGAAAAATAAGTAAAAGCTCTTCAGGGTTCTCAATAATGTGTAGCAGTATAAAGGGGTCCTGAGGCCAAAACAGTGTGACAACCACTGCTCTAGGATGCCTTGCTCTTATCCTACTGGCCAATCCCAGTGCAGAGAATTACAGCGCTGTTCAAGACTCACCTCTAAGAATCTCCCCTGACCGACCACACTCTACTCACTGCCCCTACTCTGCATCCCCTCTGCAGTTATGTTGTTCTGGTTTCCCCTGCTGCTTTCAAACCTCACGTTCTTGGCAGGTACTGGAAGAAAGAATAAAAGAACTGCACACTCTCTCTAGGCTGGGGCAGCCCTTCCAGGTGCGTCCTCAACTCGGCAGTCACCCGCTCTAGGGAAGAGTGACATTTGCGCCCGCATCGCTCACGGCAGGGACACTACAACCTGGAGAGGCCTCCTGCCGGCAGGGAGGGACCACGGAAGTTGGGGAAACTCCCAGTCTTCTTAGGGTTGAAAGCGCGGAAGGGCCTCAGGGGCGAGACTGGTGTTGCGGCAGAAGAGAGTGAGGTCTGAGGAAATCCTCGCTCCCTCACCGTCACCGGGTAAGGGGGGGCCCACCCGCTCACACCCCTCCCTTCACCATCACCGGGTAAGGGGGGGGCCCACCCGCTCACACCCCTCCCTTCCCGGCCACGCCGCCCCAAGGCTCCTCTCTCCGCCCTCTGCCGCCAAGCAGGGAGCCCGGCGCCGCCGCTGGGGCACTTCACGACAGTCCTGGCGCTTTCCGGCCGGCCGCATGGGTGGTGATGTGTAGGGGAGGCGGGGCTTAGAGGAGGGACTGCAGGCGACGCTGCCTGCTGCGACGCCGGTGTTCTGGCTGACCCACCTCTGCAGAGCCATGGCCGTGTCTGCGCCGTCCGCGCGGGCCCCGCCCGACTCAGGTAGGCTCAGAGCCCGACCCTGCGGCGGAGAGAGAGGGGCGCTGGTCCCAGAGGGGCGTGGACAGGAGGAATGCCCTGTGGGACCTGCGGCAGCGGGCCTCGGTTGGGAAGGGGCTTGTAAAGGGAGATTGCAGTCTGCGGCTTCGGGGTGATGATGACATTCGGGGGCGCTTTGCGGTGAGGGCGCTGTAGTCAGAGAGGTTCTGGGGCATTGGGGGATCCTGGAGGAGGGGCTGCACTGCAGGGATGTTTCTGTTGGTCAGAGATCAGTGGGAGAACCCAGGTAGGCAGAAGCCCCAGGGTTGTTGAGGCTGTGATTTCTGCGATTTGGGGAGGAGTCTGTTTTAAAACACCTCCACTCCTATGCGCGCTCACACTTTCTCCATTTATTGGTTGCAGATAAAGTACAGAAAGACAAGGCTGGACAGACTTCAGGGCCCAGTCAGGGCAGCCGAATGGGGAAACTCTTGGGTTTTGAGTGGACAGATGTGTCTAGCTGGGGGAGGCTGGTGGCCCTGCTGAATAGACCAACGGATCCTGCAAGCCTGGCTGTCTTCCGTTTTCTCTTTGGTAAGTCCAGTTTCTGGGAGGGGCCGGTGTGGTTGGGGGTGGGAGAATGACCAAGTCCCTTGTCCATTTCTTGGTTACTTAGTGGACTTACCCTTCTCCTCAGAGCTGAAGAGATTGATATTCTGGAAGAGGTCTTTGTGGAGTTTAGGATCAAACCCAGCTTTGTCTCCTTTGATTAGGGTTTGGAGGCCAGAGATGCTTTGATCTGAGGCTACAGGAAATACAGAGGCAGAGGAACAGGGACCCATATTTTGCTTCTGGCATGAAGTTGCCCAGGAATTATGCTAAGGACTAGACTTCAGAGAAACAGCAGGGGTGACAGGGCAGACATTTTGGCTGTGACTCCCTAATCCAGAGCTTTCTAACTCACAGGCCACAGCATGTGTGCTTGGAATGGGCTACAGATGTGCTGAGATATTAATCCCCTTAGCCCAGTGGTTCTCAACTGGGGGCAGTTTTGCTCCCCTGGGGACACTTGGCAATGTCTGTAGACATTTTTATTTGTCACAACCTTGGGGGAAGGGGAATAGTTGGTTACTGGCATTTACGTAGGAGCCAGGAATACTGCTAAATGACCTGTGATGCACAGATAGCCCCTACCAGCAAATAATTAACCAGCCCAAAATGGGAATAGTCCTGAGGTTGAGAAACCCTGCCTTAACTGGAGCTAGCTTCCTGACCTGTGTGGCCCCTTCTGTTTACTCCCGAGTGTTGGCCAAATACTGTTTTCTGTGTGTGCCAGGAAGTGAAAAGGTTGAGAAGCACCACCCTAGAGCACTTTCTGTAGCCCAGTAGGACAGACCTTTATAAATAACTATCAAAACATGAACAACTTTTATAGCATTTTGTAGACTTCTCTCATTTAATCTTTTCTGTAACCCTGTAAAGTATCATGAGCCCCCTTTCACAAATGAGGAGTTGCAGTGGCTGTCTGAAACCACACAACTGCCGTAATGCCTCGCACAGAGTAGACACTCAGTAATTATTGTTAAACGAATGAATAAATGGCAGAGCCAGGGTTAGGAGAGAAGTCTGACTCTGGAGCTGGGTGAGCTCGACTCTATTCCAGTGTATTCCACTGCTTCCTTTGCTGAGCCTAATGGCCCCCTCCCCCACTGCCTTCTCAGGGCTGATGATGCTGCTGGACATTCCCCAGGAGCGGGGGCTCAGCTCTCTGGACCGAAGATACCTGGATGGGCTGGACGTGTGCCGCTTCCCCCTGCTGGATGCCCTGCAGCCACTGCCACTTGACTGGATGTATCTTGTCTATACCATCATGTTTCTGGGTGAGGGAAACTGTGGGAGAGATGGGAGTATTGACTGGCCTACCTAAAACACAGAAATACAGAACATGCTGGTGAATGACCAAGGTCTTGGGTTCCTTATTGCACTTCTGCTCTCACTCATAGTTTCATCCTGCTGATCTGTGTCTGAATTGTGACCCCATAACTCTTTTTAAAATATTAAAATAACGTTTAATTTTCATTTAGTTTTACTGGATTATAGAATGTCTGATGACTTTTCTTAATCCCACCCCATAGCCTGTCCCAGAGGAGCTGGGCCTGTGGTGACCCTTTGACCTCTTAATCCTTTCCTCTACAAATCCCAGGGGCACTGGGCATGATGCTGGGGCTGTGCTACCGGATAAGCTGTGTGTTATTCCTGCTGCCATATTGGTATGTGTTTCTCCTGGACAAGACGTCGTGGAACAACCACTCCTATCTGTATGGTTTGTTGGCCTTTCAGCTGACATTCATGGATGCAAACCACTACTGGTATGAGTCTAGGGGAAAAGGGGTGAGGGAGGTTGGCTGGGTCAGGATGGTTACCAGAGACAGGGGCCCAGTAAGGTCCTAGAATTTGCCCCAGCAAGCATATTTTCAACCATGCTTTGCAAAGTGTGGGTATAAGGTCACACTTTGATTTGGATGGATTTGGGAGGGGGAAGGGTCAGCGAGGTTGGGGCACTTGGGATGACAAAAAGCAAAATGGCTCCATTCCTACCCCTTCACTCTTTCCATATCTCTCCAGGTGCCTTGCTCTCTCTACTTCCTGTAATCCTCTTAGAAGAAGAGAAGACTAAAGCCAGAGATAGCTGTTTTCAGATACTTCAAGGGTGGTCATGTGGAAGAGGGAGCAGACTTTCTCTGTGAGAGCCCAGAGGGGCAGAGTTAGAGCCAAGAGTAGAAGTTGCTGTGAGGCAGAGTCATCTCAGAAGGAGAGGGCCCTGCAGGGCTGCACAGCAGTGCTGTCCTGGGAGGAGGTAACCCTCCCCACCTCTGGTTTAGGTGACCATGTTTCAGGGGAGGTGGAGAAGGGAGTTGGAGACAGGGTGGCAGGGCAGATGACCTTTAAGGATTCTTCCCAGTATGAAGTGAAAAGCAAATATGAGATGTCAGTAAGATGGGTATAGGAAAAGAATCTCAAACATTGAATTTGGTAGTGATTTATCAGTCATTAATTAAGTTTTACTCACTAATACACACATACAGATACCCCTTGTGTAAACCTTTTGATTCATTCAGAATGGCCAGCTCTGATCGTATAGAATTAAAAGGCAGTTTTGACAGAATACCCCTGAAAAGTTTGATTTTTATGACTTTTTACACAATTTGAAAAAATACCTATCACTTACTGAAGGCTTTCCACGTGCCAGGCACTATACTAAACACTTTTCATTTTTCCTCATTACAACCCCATGAGGCCCATATTGCTGTTCCCATTTATAGATGAAGGAACTAAGGCTTAGAGAAGTAAAGGATTTGCCTAAGATCACATAGCAGGTAAGAGGCACGAGTGAGAATCCAGGTCTCCTTAACTGCACACTCCAGTGCTCTTGACCACAAGTGTAAGCTGCCCCTTTCCCAACTTCTCTGCTCATTCATTGTCTTCTTTGGAAACTTGCTTTGCCTCTGCCTTCCCAGAATACATCTAGCCTTGGTAGCTTGGGTTTATCAGTTCTCTCCCAAGGTAAGCTGTTAGCAGGTACCCTCTGGCACTAGATCCTGGCATCCAGGTCTATGAAATGTCCGTTTGTCTTGGATATTGAATTTTTTTTTAATGCACTGTATATATTTACATATACCTTTAAGCTTTTCAAACACTCCGTCAAATTCATTCTTTTTCAAATTCAGTCATATTCTAACATTGTAGTCTTTTTCCTCATTTGTTCCATTAGAACAAACTAATTTGCTAACTAACTAATGGTAAACACTGGACTTTTTGTTGTTATAACTCACTAGTTATATTTCTGTTATGACTTAAAATAATCACTGTTACAATTTGTTCATTTAATTCTAAAGGGTCTCAGAATAGCCCAGACAACCAGAGAGGATGTGGGAGATGTCTTTTACATTTTAAAAGAAAGGTGGAAATGTGGCTGGACTAAGAAGCCCTCCTCAACCCTTCCCTCTCTTGGTGTAGGTCTGTGGACGGCGTGCTGAATGCCCGTAAGCGGAATGCCCATGTGCCCCTTTGGAACTACACTGTGCTGCGTGGCCAGGTACAAGATTTTAGTGAAGAGGGAGGTGTTCTTCAACAGCCATCGTCAGCATGGCCATCCCACTGCCAGACTGCACTCTACTCTGCCTCCCTGGATCTTCTTTTTTCACTTTTGCTGGAAAGCGAGGCTGGCTTTTCTCTTGTTTCCAATCCTCTAATCTCTGGGTTCTCTCACCTTGTCATGGAAAGAATAGAGCTTTGTCTTTGCTAGATTAGAATCCTCATGAGAGAAAGAATAACGTCTATGCTTCATGACTTTCACTGGTGCCTAATACTGTGCCTAGCATTGGTAGGATGTCAATAAATACTTGCTGGATGGATATCTGAGATGAGTGAATAAAAGACTGGATCTAATCTTCCTTGGGCCCTGAACTGAGATCAGAACTTACTTTATTTTTAACCATCTGTAGAAAACAAGGTTCTTTTTTTTTGTTTGAACATTCGTTTTGCATTTTGTGTTTGCAGATCTTCATTGTGTACTTCATTGCGGGGGTGAAAAAACTGGATGCAGACTGGGTTGAAGGGTATTCAATGGAAAATCTGTCCCGGCACTGGCTCTTTAGTCCCTTCAAGTGAGTGGCAGTCAGGGCAGAGGCCTCATGGAGGCATGGGGTACAGAGTGGGTGACTCTCCTCCCTCAGGTCTGCAGTGATGGCTGCTGTTCCTATTTTGCCTGAATTTGCCACATGCTTTCCTCTGTCCACTCATTTTCCTATTCAGCAGAAGGCAGAGTCAATGATATCAAAAGATCTAGGCCTAGCTGTCCCTGGGAGACTTATGGTATGGGTGGGAATGAAGAGCAAAGAAATAAAAAAAGGAAAGGAAAGAGCCGGAAATAGGTGACTTGGTGAATGAGTCAGTGCTCCCAGCAGTTGTCGTGAGTGGTGCCTATGTCCTTAGGTTGCCCCCAGCCTCTTGCCAGGATTCCTCAACCACTGTACCAAGAAGATGGTCAGTTTCCCTGTCCTGAAGAACCATTGTCACCAACTCTGTACCAAACAGAGGTTCACCTTTCTGATTTCTCTCTTCCTCCCATTTCTTTTTTCTTCTTGTTTTGCTTTGTTCTTTTTCCTCTTCTCTGTTATTCCCCAGTTCCTAAAGTTTGACTTATTGTTACGTTAGTCATGCATTAACCTCTTAAAGTTTCTTCTCATTTGTAACCTCCGTGAAGAACCTGCCCCCAACAACACACACACTTCTCAATCACATTTTGCCCTAGAGATCTGCCCTTACTATATAGGGTATGTTGAAAAAAACTGGCCACCTAAAGTGTGTGGAAATGAAAGGGGTTGGAAAACTCTACCCTAGGGTGTCTTTGTGCAGAGTTCTACCCACCTGCTGTGGTAGATCCTTTGGCAAGGACAGGGTAGCAGAGGTACATTTGCTGTGAATGCTGGGTACCCTAATGGGCAGTTGCCTGACCTTTGTCCCTGGTGTCTGCAGACTAGTATTGTCCGAAGAGATGACTAGTCTAGTCGTGGTGCACTGGTGTGGGCTGCTGCTGGACCTCTCAGCTGGTTTCCTGCTCTTCTTTGATGCCTCAAGATCCATTGGCCTCTTCTTCGTATCCTACTTCCACTGCATGAACTCCCAGCTTTTCAGCATTGGTCAGTACCTATAGTCTGGTGGGAAACAGGAAACTACAGGTTTGCAGGGGGGGACTAGCCAGGGGCATTGTTTGGGAGTGTGAGAGGATGATGGGAACATGAGCTAAATTGAGCCAGATGCAGTCACTGTGACATGGAAATAAACAGGGAGGATTGGGGCTTCTGGGCTCAGCTAGTATGTTGTGTAGTAAGGAATCTCTGGGAAGTAAGTATCCTCTAGTTAAGAACTTGTTTTATCGTAAGTGGAATACCTGGGAGAGGCTTCCTGAGGGAAGGGGGTTGAGGGGACTACCCACGTTCCCCCCAGCCAACCTCCTAAAATGCTTATTTTCTTCCTGCTTTCCTAGGTATGTTCCCCTACGTCATGCTGGCCAGCAGCCCTCTCTTCTGCCACCCCGAGTGGCCTCGGAAGCTGGTATCTCGCTGCCCCAGAAGGTTGCAAGAACTGCTTCCCCTCAAGGCCACTCCTCAGCCCAGCGCTTCCTGCATGTATAAAAGGAGCCGGGCCAAAGGTGGCCAGAAGCCAGGGCTGCGCCATCAGCTAGGCGCTGCCTTCACCCTGCTCTACCTTCTGGAGCAGCTCTTTCTGCCCTATTCCCATTTCCTCACCCAGGTGTGTATGGGCTTGGGGTTAGCTTGGAAGGTGGCAGAGGTGACAACAGTAGGGAAAGATTGGGGCTGGTTTTGTAGCCCTTTCTCGGTAGAGGATGTGAGAACCATTGAGCTGATTCCCTCTGCCCTGCCTTCTCAGGGCTATAACAATTGGACAAATGGGCTGTACGGCTATTCCTGGGACATGATGGTACACTCCCGCTCCCACCAGCACGTGAAGATCACCTACCGTGATGGCCGCACTGGCGAGCTGGGCTACCTTAACCCTGGGGTGAGACATTTGATGCTGACAATTTACTGTTCTTCAGGGCCTTCTTGAGCTTTGGGGTCTGGTTTAGTCTTAAACATAATTATAAAATAAAACAAATTTGGGTCCACTCTGTCCTTTCTCAGGAGCCAGGTTGAACCTTCTTTTGCGTGGGTTGAAGTAGGGCAATGTCATTTACTTCCTTGAATTGAGATTAAATTTAGGAAAGGTAAGTACCACTAGCCCAGCATTGAAAAATTCTTCCCCAAAGACAAGTTCAGGGTTTTTTTCCTGGTCAAAATGGGCAGCAGGCAGGGATCTCTTTGTGCCAATGGCAGTGCATGACCTGTCTAGGAGGCTGATAATGAAGAAGTAGGACTAATGTGGGGGTTTGGGGCAGGTATTCACACAGAGCCGGCGATGGAAGGATCACGCAGACATGCTGAAGCAATATGCCACTTGCCTGAGCCACCTGCTTCCCAAGTACAATGTCACTGAGCCCCAGATCTACTTTGATATTTGGGTCTCCATCAATGACCGCTTCCAGCAGAGGTGGGCAAGGGGAGCAGAGATGGGGGAGAAATGAAGTCCAGCTCCTTTTGCCAAGATGAATAGCCCATACTCCCCAGTGTTGTCTTGCTTGAAAGGCTGTCTTTCTCTGGTTGTGGGCAAAGCTGATTGCTTCCAGCAGGGGGCACCGTCGTCCAGAAGGAAAGGTAACTGACTTGTTCTTTTAGACACTATTAACACAATTCTCCTCAGGTGCCCGCTAACCCTCATTCTTCCCAGTGCTCCAGAATCTCTTTTCCCTCCTCGCTTTGCCCCAGACTGGCAATAACACGCTGACATAGGCCATTTCTTCTATCAGGAAACCCCGTTCCCTCTATCTGGAAATGGTGATGAAAGGAACAGAACTGGAAGTTCTGGTGGGTGGGTGGCTGTGGCCTCCTTAGAACATGGTTTTCTTTCCTAAGGATTTTTGACCCTCGTGTGGACATTGTGCAGGCTGCCTGGTCCCCCTTCCAGCGTACACCTTGGCTACAGCCACTGTTGATGGATCTGTCTCCCTGGAGGACCAAGTTACAGGAAATCAAGAGCAGCCTGGACAACCACACCGAGGTGGTCTTCATTGCAGATTTCCCTGGTACGGAGCAAAGCAAGGAGATGCTTTGCTGTCTTTCCTCCTGGCTTCCTTGGCCAGGGACATGGCGTGTGGTAGAGGGAAGAGGGGCACTCCTGGTGGGAGGAATGTTTTTGAAACCTGAGGGGTGGTAGTGGTGAAGGTGTGACGTCTCTGTTCTAGCTGGGAGTGAGTTCACTCTACCATGGGGTGGGATGGGGAACTTTGTTGCTCCTGGTAGGGCTGCACCTGGAGAATTTTGTGAGTGAAGACCTGGGCAACACTAGCATCCAGCTGCTGCAGGGGGAGGTGACTGTGGAGCTGGTGGCAGAAAAGAAGAACCAGACTCTTCAGGAGGGAGAAAAAATGCAGGTATTAAAAAAATTGCTGTCATTAACAATGACAGAAAAGTTTCGAGGAGTGGAGTTAATTTATTATAGACTCAAAATACTTTACCACAGCAGTGATGCAGTGGGGGCTCAAAAAGCAGGGGCCCTGGGGCTGTGAATAGCCTCGTCCAGGATTCTAGAGGTCAGTTCTTTTGGACTCCAAAACACAATGAGAAGATGCCTGGGTAGGGGCTAGTGTAGGGAGCCCACAGGCTGGCTAGGGAAAGGTTAGAGAGTGAAATCCATCCATTTCCTCCCCCATGTCAGTTGCCTGCTGGTGAGTACCATAAGGTGTACACAATATCGCCCAGTCCTTCCTGCTACATGTACATCTACGTCAACACTACCGAGCTTGCACTGGAGCAAGACCTGGCATATCTGCAAGAATTAAAGGAGAAAGTGGAGAATGGAAGTGGTGAGTATATGAAGATTGGGGCTGACAGGAAGTCAGGGTTGTGAATGAGGTCTAGCCATTAAAGAATGAACTCGAAGCCTCTAGCTGATGAAAGGGGAGTTCCAAGAAAGAGAATCATCTCTCTCTCAGTGATTCCTCTTTTTGTCATCTTCTGGGCAGAAACAGGGCCTCTACCTCCAGAGCTGCAACCTCTGCTGGAAGGGGAAGTAAAAGGGGGCCCTGAGCCAACACCTCTGGTTCAGACCTTTCTTAGACGGCAGCAAAGGCTCCAGGAGATTGAACGCCGGCGAAATACCCCTTTCCATGAGCGACTCTTCCGCTTCTTGCTGCGAAAGCTCTATATCTTTCGCCGCAGGTAAGTTTTCCCCACGACAGTGCTTGTCATTGCCATCAGATGTTTGCAGGCTGGGTGACTTTTCTCTGGTGGGGGTAATAGTAGGGACTCTCCCACGAAAGGACATTCTAGCACTAAATCTTTTTCACTCTTTATTCTGTTCTCCTTGATTTAATGGAAGAGTAAATGATTTGTGTCTGATGACCTGCTGTCTTGTTCTGCCTCACCGTATCTCCAATCTCCCTGTAGGTTATTCCTACCCCACCCTGGAATCCTGGGGTGCCCTTCCAGCTGGGATGTAGGGGTCACTGGGAGGAGATTCTCATTTATGCCTGGGTGAGAGGAGGTAGGACCAGGTGCCCCCTAAGAGCTTAGGCAGGAATTCTTAGGCAGGAATTCCAGTGTTGAAACAGAAGTTCGGACTGGGTGGCCTTTTCCCTCTTTTTCAGCTTCCTGATGACTTGTATCTCACTTCGAAATCTGGTATTAGGCCGCCCTTCCCTGGAGCAGCTGGCCCAAGAGGTGACTTACGCAAACTTGCGACCCTTTGAGCCAGTTGGAGAGTCGACTCCTTCAAACACAGATTCTTCAAATCCTCCTGAGCCAAATTCTGACCCTGTCCACTCAGAGCTCTGAGGGGGGCCAGACATTGGGTACAGATATGGGAGCAGCCAGTCACAAGACCATTACCTACACAGTGGAAATTTATTTGAAAATGTTATTTCAGATATTTTTTACATTTTTCTTCCTTGTCCACAGCTATTTTAAATTCAGAAATGATAGCTTAGAGGAGCCAAGGAAGTAAAGCAAAGATGATAATTTATCAAAGGTTGAGGGGCTAAGAAGGGGTTAAGAAGAATGTGAAAATGTCCTTCTAGGATAAAAGGGTTAAGAGTCAGGTTTCAAGTGACTGGCTTCTTGGGGAAAGAGATTCAATGTACCATGAAGAAAATAACAGCTGACTGTTCTCAAGTGCTTGCTGTGAGCTAGGCACTGTGTGAAGCACTGTGCCTACATTAGTACATGTAGTCCTTAATAGTCATTGGCCCCATTTTACAGTTGGAGAAACTGAGGCTGAGAGGTAATATAATTTGTTCAAAGACATACACCTAGTAAGGGATGGATTGATGGTTTGAACCTCAAGTCCATTTGACTTAAGGTCTTGTACCCTGCCTCATGTAATTGTCAGAATCACTTAGAATAATTTTGAAGTAATGTAGTTCAAACTTGTCTTCTTAATTATAAGTACGATTAGGATGGTGATCAGGTTTTAAATGCACACAGAGTAATTGTCTCACTACAGTTCTGGTTCCTTCTTTGTTCCTATTATCTATATAGCCAGTAAGTTTTTCACTTGCAGTTATGAGAGTAGTTAGAATAGCACAAAGTTAAATAAGGAAATTTAGATGATTGGTAATAGGATTTCGTTAAAAAATAAGCTTAGTATATTTAGCATTATCATAGCCTTTAGTGAGCAGAAGGTGATGTAAAGTAAGAGTTGACCAAACTTGGTAAGGGTTTAGGGAATGTTTATAGTCACTTTGTAGGTTTGGATATACAGGAGTGATTCAGGAAACTTCTTAATTCCATTAAAATTCAAAGGCCTGGCACTGAGCTAGGAAGTGAAAAGGCATAGAGTAATAAAATAATTTTTTAAAAAACGGCCCCTGCTCTGGGAACTCATGGTCTTGTAGTAAAGACTGGGAGTAAATTGGCAGTGCCAGTAACTTTGATAAAAGATTGCATCTCTATTTTCAGGCTTCTCTTTCCATGCCCCACCCCATCAGTGGTCGCAGGATTCTTTCCAAGGGAGCTGCCTTTTCACTGTACACACTTGGGACGATTATGTCCACTCTGTGGTTTTCAGTGACACTGTTCCTTAGATTTCTTTTCTGTGCTCTAGACCTATATCAGCCAGCCCTGGTGGTCCAATGGTTAAGATTCAGGGCCCTCACTGCCACAGCCCAGGGTTCATTTCCTGGTCAGGGAACCACACCACCTATCTGTTGGTTGTCATACTGTGGTGGCTGAGTATTGCTATGATGCTGAAAGGTATGCCACCAATATTTCAAGTACTAGGAGGGTCACCCATGGTAGACAGATTTCAGTGGAGCTTCCAGACTAAGACTAGGAAGAAGGACCTGGCTGGCCATCCACTTCCACAAAAATTTGCCATGAAAACCCTATGAATAGAGAACATTGATATAGCACTGTAAGGTGAGAGGATGGCGCAAAAAGACCAGGCAAGGTTCCGCTCTGCTGTACAGAGTTGCTAGGAGTTGGGATCGACTTGACAGCAATAACAAGACCGATATACCTAACTAGTCCCACCTGGATATCCCAGAGCTTTTAAACTGTCCTAAGTAATTTATATTCATCCCCAACTCCGACCTGCCTCTCCTTAATTAGTGAATGCAACTGTATTTTTTTGACTAAGCCATGTGTGAGTCATCAGCTATCTCTACTACCTGTGTTTTTTCAGCCTTTATATTGGAATCTAGTTAGGGATAGACCAGAGTAGGGCTACCATGTGGTAATGCAGGCTGAATCTGAAGAAGGGCTCTGCACTGAGGCCAAGTGGGGTGTGGCAGTAAGTCCCTCTAATTCATACAAGGCATTGTGTGAGTGAAACACTGCTTTTCAGTCCGTTTGCAGAGCTGAGTGACACAATATACCTAGGCACAATGTCCTTTGCTGGTAAATTCAGCTATCTTCTTCTGTTCCCCTAATCCCCCTTCCTCCCTAATAAAGACAAGGATGCTGGCTCTCCCCCAACTTTAGTGTACCTACCACTTCTCTGACTCATTTTCCCAGTGAAAATATTGAGGTAGGGTGGAGAGTAAAGGTGGTCATCTTAATACTGTTAAGAAAAGCTGTTCAATGGAGATCTGGGTCATTCAGGTTTCAAGAGGAATCACGACCTGTGCAACTGCAGCTGTTCTGGGAATGCGTTATCAGTGTCTTTTTAGTATTCCTTCTAACGCCAGCTTTTGGATCTTTTGTACGACTGATGTTGTCAGATGACTGATGTCATCTCCTTTGAAACTTTGTAGGAAGGCAAGTTTAGTACAAATTTCTTTTCAACCTAAACATAAAATAGTTATGACATTCCTCTCGATAACACACTTCATGCTGTGATCCTCAACTATTGGTAATGACCCTCACCCCGTTTCATGCCTTTGCTTCTACTTTTCTCCCTGGGCTGGTTAATGCTGCTCCACCTTCATTATCTTTAGGATTCTCTTCTCCCAAGTTGGGCAGAGAACTAGTGCCTTTAAGGTCACTGTACTTTGCAAGTTCTGAGGGCAGTGACCTTCCTAGTGAACACTGAACCTAAACTTTTTTGTGAGGAAGACCAGCCCTGAGCTAACATCCATGCCAATCCTCCTCTTTTTGCTGAGGAAGACTGGCCCTGAACTAACATCCGTGCCCATCTTCCTCCACTTTATGTGGGGCACTGCCACAGCATGGCCTGACAAGTGGTGCGTGCCCAGGATCTGAACCCTGGCCGCCAGCAGCGGAGGGCGCGCACGTAACCACCATGCCACGGGGCCGGCCCCATGAACCCAACCTTAAGGCAGTTACTTCTTTGGTGCTACCCCACTAGCTTACAGGCACCCACTCATCCTCACTCCCCTTATTTGGCCAACATGGTTGTCTTGAGATAGCAATGCTTTGGCTTCTAAAAAGCTTTTTTGAAACTTATTTGCCAAGTTGAGGTACTCAAGTTTCTGAACAAGTTACATACTCCAGAATAAGCTTTAACCTTACCATCCCAACATTTCTAAATTTTTAGGCCTCCAGGCAAACAGGTATAAGCATTTCTTGGGTCTCACATTTGCAGCAGGCCGGTAAGAGTTGAACCACCACTTGATTTCACACGTTGGTAAAAACACGTGCCAAGTGGCTCCTGCCTATACTTGAGCTTCTAGGCTCAAGGACAGTTCCAAGTTGTGTTTGATGAATTTTCTACACAAACTTCCACAAATTTTGAGTAAGCCTTTGGGAAGCCTGTATCTTCGCTGTAATTTTATGGTTCACTTTAGTTCATTTATTCTATCTTTTAATTAGATTGGAAGCTGGTCCCTTACCACTGTTTAAAAACTTTTCAAACTGTAATGTGTACTAAACATGTAACTTGTAGCCTTTAAAATGTTTTATATATATATAAAGGGATTAATACTTAAGGTATATTAAATAAACTCAGCTTTTCACATTAGTCAAAAAGATGAAAAGTTAATGTGTTTAAATTTAATACTGAACTCCCTCCATGTTACACTGTTAGTGGGTTTAAGAGTGTTAAGAGTGACTGCTGCAATAAGGAGACACATGAATTTTGGCCATTGCATTGGAGAAAACCGGCAATGCTGGACAAACAGATCAAATTATGAACTTTCTTCGTAGTGCTAGGGATAATTGGATTTACAGACCTATTAAATGCCTGCAGTCAGGGTCAAAGGATTGAGGTCATTTCCCTGAACCAGGCACAGGACCATTTTTCAAGGTTGAAGAGTATGTTGTCAGGTCATATGCATAACCAAGACACTTTTGAAGAATAATGGACGCAGTTAAGGTAGAACCTAGCATTTTATTTTAGATCTTCATTAAACTGTTGGAATTGAGAACCAGACATACGTAATAAACCTCCAAAAATAGATCCTGAAAGGCACTTTCTGCTTAGGGCAAGCAGTCATGGAATAAGCATGTAAACAAGCTGGCTTCTCTGTACCACACCAGCCAAGTCAGCTTTCTCCATGGCCAGCCGCACCAGCTCTGCCCTCCCTTCTGTTAACACCAGCCAGACCCCCTGTAGGTCTAACCCAAGGTTTTTCTGTAGGACACCTTGGCCTACCTGGGAATGCTGGAAACATGTTGTTAAAGGAATCATGGTGTTGAAGAAAAAAAAAAAAAAAAAAATCTTTTAAAAGCTGCCATCTGAGGTGATGGCTTCTCTGTACTTACGCCATACCCCAGAATACAATAAATAAGCAATTAGAAAATGTTCAAGTATGAAGGGATTTCCTCCTCCCCGCCAAAAGCACTGCTCTCTGAAGGAAGCTGGTTTCTCTGTAGCTACACCAGCTGTTCAGAAAGCTCATTGGACCTGGTTTTGAAAATAAAACAAAGTTAAAACCCTGGGAGGAGTTATTGTGCAGTGTGGAATACTCAGCCTTTCTTATAAAGAAAAAAAAAAAGTTATCTGGTACCAAAGTGTGCAACCCACAGACCCTCAGGTACTGCCCTGTGACTTCTCTGTATGACATCACAAGGGTGCCAAGCGCCTGTTTATCTAGAGCTAGGAGTTGGTGGTTTGGCTAGTGCTGAACCCATGCATAGAATTGGTTTACTAAGTAAAAACCTTATTACGTACGTCCTCCAAAAGACAGCTGAAAAGTGGAGAGATTTTGATTTGGTGCTGTTTAAGAGATGTCAATTAAGAGCATAAGCACCAGGGAGATGGTTTAATGGTAACTGCCTTTTTTTTTTTTTTTTTTAATGTCAGGCTAGAGCTCCAACTGGAACTTGCGTTACATGCAAGAATGATTGGATAGGGAACGCTCCCTGACAAAGAGCTACATAATTAGAAATGGATCAAGTTATAGGGAGGATAAGGGAAGGCTTCACATTCATAATAGAGCTCAAGACATTACAAATTCATGCTGACAGGTCTGTGGCATTGCCAGACAGAGGCTATAATGGAACTACAAGTACTTTACGTGCACATTACAAGGACATTTTCAGCATCTGGTGGGAAGTCAATGCAATTAGGATTTTAGAGGGTTGGGTGATAGGGCACAAAGGTTCAATTTCAAAGCATTATTTACTACAGTGTTGTTGGTTTGTTTCTAGGCAGTTACATGGATCACCTATGCTCACTAAATTCATTATAATGGTGAACAAAACACCTAGGGACAGAATAGCAAGCCCAACTTACAGTCCCCCACACAAGCTAAAATTCATGTCATTGACTAGAGTGACTGCAACTGATTGGGAGCTGAAAGAGGACAGGAAAATTTAGGAAGAAAGGCCCTTTCCCTCAGAGCTTGAAGGCTTCTCTGTAGCCTACGCCAACAAGTCTGGGGAAAAAAGGCTAACACTTTCAATATTTAAGCTTTTTGGGCACTTCCCATGGGAAGCTGTCCCTACCAAAGTGGCCATAGGCTGCAGTCCTCTGATAAATTGGCTTCTTCAGATCCAGATCCCTGGAATATACAAGTCCGTAACTTAATATGTAGCATTCAATTAAAATAAAGCAAAACAATCAGCAAGACTCATTTTCAAGAGTTCTGGCAAATGAGTTCAGTTCTCTGAGGTATGCTAGGAAAAAAGTTTGTGGCAAAAATGTTTGTTACTTCCCTGGTGTCCAAACTCCTTGCACAGTCCTCATTAGTAACTATAGTTCTTGTTTTTCCATCCCTGGCTCAACAAATATGAAAACTTGTCATTATTCTGAGAAATTTCAAGTGTCAAAAGCTCATCTGAGATCAAGGCATACTTACCAAGGTCCCATGCCCACATCCCACCATGGTTATTTTCTTTGTAACAGCCTTGAACATCCCATTTATCTGTACTAATTTCTTTAAAATAAACATCCTTAGGTAAGGGGAGCACAAAGCCCAATATCAAATGTGGAGGACTTTCTAAA